TTAAAAAAATTAACAAAATATTGTTTCTTTATGTTTTTATATTACAAAAGATGTTAAAAACGAACTGCTAAATCACATCATCAAAGTTATCAGATTCATAAATAATCGTTTTTGTCATATTACATTGTACAACTGTATTTTATTAGGAACAGCAAATCACCGAAATCTTTAATGTACAAATTTTTTTTTCCTCTTTTCCTTTTTTCGAAACATTTTCTATCTACCTGGCATGTACATACAAGCGAGAAGATACAATCAATCTTGAATAGATACTATCAGTGGTACGCTTGTCCGCGCAACACGAGTTTATGACAATGTGAATATGTGTGTGTGTGAATACGTGTATTCAAGAAATGAGAAACATGTGGAAGTCCAAATGAAGGTCACTCGAGAGGTTGAGGCCGGCCAACGCTCGTATAACACATAATTCTGTCGTATTGGTTTTCTTCTATATTCCTGTGAAGCAATTAAGCAGCTGGAAATTTTTTGCGTATTCTTAAAATAACAGCACGATACCTTGACTCTGCACTTTTTCTTGTTCTTTGTCAAATCGCATTCGTATTCTTTAAATTTTTATCGGACTATCGAAGACTTGTATTGTATGTTACGCGAGACCAAATGGTTCTGTCATATTAATACGCACATTATATTATTGAATAGCATTCGTTGTTTGAAAAACGAAAATTGACCAAAGCTAAATTCATTATTATTTCCGTCAGATTCTGCTAGTCTTATCAATAATCTAAAATACGTCGTTATTTGGAAGTCAAAGGTAGCAGCTCTTTTCCGTCGCAATATATAATGTTCATTTAATGTTCCTTATACCTAAATATTGATCGGTGATATCTGATTTACCAACGGTTCTGACCTCGATGCTTAACTATGTCCAGCATTGATTATTTTCGTCGATAGAAAATGATAGTGAAACAGATAGCGTGTTCGTGCTGGAATAGATACGAGCATGGTCTTGCATCCTTTTCATTTAGGATACAAATAGTTCTCAAGTCTTAAAAGAACATGTGGCATTCAGAATCACCGTTCGTAGTAAAAATAAATAGAACAATACTGAGGAACATCGAGGAAAAAAATGTTTCAATATGTAATATTTAAAAATAATCACGGTAGGCATAAATTTATGTTTATGTTAAATTTATGTTCTCTAAAATATTAAATATCTTATTGTATAATCATTGATATTTTTGCCAAGATTTGCTTTATTCTTTTACATTTTTTCTTTACATATAAATATAACTTCATAATTTTGCTTAGAAGTAACACATTAAGATGATGTATATTTCGTATATTTTAAAATTCAAACATAAAATTAAAAAAAAATGTCAACCTTCAATTTAAAAATATACCTTATATATAATAACATAAAAAAATAATATATAAAATTACAAATAAAATTCTATCTGGAATTCGGTTCAAATAGATTGTTTAAAAAATCGATGTTTTTTCTTTTTATTAAAAATATCAAATGAACAAATATCGATTACCATGAATTACTAGTAATGCAGCTAGATCTAACGAATTAAAAATGCACTCGTGAGGAAAATTAATCAGTATTAGGTTAAATGCTATAGATGTTATGGATACATACATATCTGATCGATTATAATCGCGGAATTGTTTGCGCCGATAAATGTAACTCACCGAGTATTCAAGCTCATCCTTGACATTCTCTGTTATTAATCGTGACTTTATCAAGAAAGCGCAACTTGTTGAACGATACAGTGAATGAGAAGCTTTAATTCTAGTTAAGTCAAGTTGTCGTTATTATATTATGCATATATATTTCCAAGTAAACTGGATTCTCTGATAAACATACATTCTTCTCGGTCTTCATAAATAATTTGCCGAGTTTCAGAGTTGAATATTAATCAGTGGAATCCGATTATCTCTTTTTTTGCGCGTTTAACTATTACAGTATACTGCAAAATAGATTTAGCATTAATTTAATTCTTTTCATTTATACATAAAAATAATATCTATAAAAAGTGTGCATTAATATATCTTTTCAAGAAAGTATTTGTGT